CTGACCCCTCACAGACACCTCCCTACCCCCTCTCCCACAGCCCTGACCCACCACACTGGGGCCCACTGTCACACACAGCTATCTCCTCCAGACCAAGGCTGTGCAGTGACCACGGTCAGCTGGAGCAGGCCGTGCTTGGCCCCCACCCCTTGAGTGCCCCCTCGCCCGCACCCCTGCACTTACACTGCATGTACCACGCCCGCCAGATGGCATTGTTGAGCCGGATCTTGTCTCTCCACTGGAGCTTCAGGCCTTTGAAGTTCTTCCACTTTGGAGACACCAGCTTCCCACTGGAAGGCAGGACAGAGCACATAGAGACCTCATGTCCCTCCTCAAGAAAAGAAGTCAGGCCTCACCACCCACCAGCCATTCTGGGGCCTGTTAAAGCCCCAGGTCAGACTTCAGGGGCTGTGGGTGACTTCAGTGGGGGCCAAGACTGGACACAGGGTAACCGGAGTGGGGTGACAGTACCTGGGCCCCCCTACACCAATCTATATACTTGGTCAAAGCTGGAAAGCTCCCACAAATGAAGAGGGAAAGATACGCGAGCGGAGAATGGAAACTAAGCTCCTCTCACCAGTCCGGGTACCGCCCACCACCAGGCCCTCAAGGCCCCCATAATGCCGGGAACCACGTGTCCCACTGCGCGTAGCATCAGAGACCTGAGGAGGTCTCCACACACAACCCCCTGGCCGTTCTCATCCTTTAAACGCCGTCTTCTCCGAGCGGCACACAGGGCTCTCACTGCAGTCTTCACGGTTCCCCTGGCCTCCCAGAAAACGTCTGTTCAAACCCCTCTTTAGACCCGTGCTCCTCCTGGGAGGTCTGCGGGTGTCCCTCTGTCCTACACACCCAGCGGAACTGGACAGAGTGGGAGTTGGTCGAATTCCCTGCAGAGAGTCCGCAGAGCAGGGGGCACAGCCAGCAGCAGGGGTGAGGCCAGTCGTCCGGGGGGCCTCCTGACAGGTGCCCAGTCAGAGCCCTGTCTCGGATGCTGCACAGGGCTGGCCTCCCGAAGTGAGCAGGGTGCTACTCTCACCTTCTACCCAGGCCCCTCCATGACCACAGGTCCAGCCCCATGCAGGACGGTGATGTTTTGGGCACAGAGGGGCCACTGGCACACAGGCAGGGGCTTCAGAGGAGGCACAGACAGTGGGCACCTATGGAGCCTGAGCTTCTGAGCAGACAACCTTGCTGGGCAAAGACTTTGGGGCTCACCCACAACCCAGCCAACAGGCCCAGTGCTGCACACCTGGGCGGACACACCTGCGTGACCACAGCAAACACACCACGGCGCACTCCCGGGCAGGAGGCACCGACAACAGGCAACAGCTGTCGTGGCTCCCCACCCAGAGGTTTCAGAGGTCCACACGGCCGACACTCCCAGGCTCACAGTCGAGCTCCGCGGCTGCAGCACGGGTCGCGTCAGCACCCTTCCGTGCACTGATGAGGGCAGCAGAAGCCCCGATGGCACACCAGGCTCCCGGTAAGGGCAGAACGATACCGCACCCAGCACGTGACATGCTGAACGAGCGTGCACACAGCCTGCACCGCGAGCCTAACGCCAAACAGGGAGGAGAGAAACTCATCCAGCCTGATCATCGGGACTGCCCTTACTATCAAGCAGTGGCAAGAAGCTGGGCTGCAATCCCAAAGGCACAAGGTTCAAATCCACCAGCTGTTCCACAAAAGGATGGGCACTCTCCTCCCCTGCCATTAACTGCTTCTGAAAACCCACCGGAACGTGAGCTATGACTTCATGATACACACATTAAGAGGCTTAGCCCACAGGGCCGTCCGTTCTTCCATCTGCCCCTCTGCCGTCACCAGTCTGGCCTCCACAACCCACTCTACAGCTGCACTGAGTGGACAGAGAAGGAGAAACAAAGGAGTAATGTTTGAGTTAAGGGGCTGCTGAAGACCATGGAAGGAGTTCTGGTGGCCTAGTGGCAAGGAGCTGTGCTATCAATCCAAAGGCACGGAGTTAGAATCCTACTGCTGCTCTGTGGGCAATCTCCTCTCATGCAAACTATTGCCTCTGAAAACCCGCCGGGAGCTCTGGTAGCCTAGCGGCAAGAAGCTGCACAACAATCCTGAAGGTGCATGGTTCAAATCCAGCAGAGGCAATGCTGGAGAAGGAGGGGCAACCTCCTCCTGTGTCAGTCAGTCGGATTAGATTCGATGGAAAAAACAAAAACACGAAAACCCCCTGGAGGGTCAGCTATAAGTCTGTTGTGACTTGATGTCACACAACAACAAGAACAATACGTCAGAGGACTGAACAGATCAAATGCATCTTGGAAAGACTTGCAGAGTGCTCCGGAGAATGAGGGCAGCAGAACTGTGTCGCATAGACTGTGGACATGTTAGCGGGAGGGGCCAGCCCTGGAGAAGGTCATCATGGTCAGCAGAGGAGAAGACTGCGGGAAGAGAGCAAGACCCTCAACGAGATGGACGGGCTGCAAGAACGGGCTCAAACCGGCCGTGGGTGGGCAGGACTGGGCCAGGTTTCATTCCAGTGGGTGAAGGGTCGCCCTGGCAGCACCTACACCCTCCACAGAGGGAAAGACGGTGCCCGCTGTGCCCACTCTGGCCTTCCGGGCACCCATGAACTGCTGCGCCAGGAGACAAGGCCTGGGCCCCACTCACTCTGTCCGGCTGGGGGTGAATGAGGAGGACACGGCCCTCGACGGGCACTGCGCCTGCTGAGTCACACGGCCCATGTGATGAGAGTCAGGACACAGAGTGGTCAGGACAGGGTCCCCTGGAGGAAGTGACAGCAAGTGAAGGCTCAGCACTAGGGACCTGCCATGCACCCTGCCAGGTGTGTGAGGGCCCTGTGGTGACTGTGACCACCCAGAGTGGTAGGGGCAGGGGACAGGGGGCAGGGAGGCAGAAGCTGGCCCATGCAGGGTCTCAACAGCCAGAGTCAAGGGCATGTCTCTATCCCAAGAGCAACAGGATGTTATTGGAAGGCTTTACACGAGGCTGACTTGGCAGATACAGTGCGTGGGGCTCCAGAGCTCGGCAGTGCAGCTGGTGAGGCTGTGGAGCGAGTGCACACCTCAGTTCCCAGGGCACAGGAAAGGCATGTCACCCCGAGCTGTAGTGTTACAATGTGCACAGAAAGTAGAGCTACAGCACCCAGGATGCCAGAGCTCCAGGGAGAAGGACCAGACGCTGACCCAGACGCAGTGAGCGTGGCACCCTCAGTGCCCGCATGTCGACCTGGTGCAGCGGGGCTGCAAGGTGATGCACGCAGCGCTGCGAAGCTCAGTCAAGTGAAATGCACCCAAAGTGTTCCTGTAACAGAAGCCAATGTTTAAAACAAAGTATCACTCTGTCAAAGGATGACAGAAAAAAAAATACCTGCAAGATATACAGCAAAGAAAAACAAACTAACACCCAGACTATATAAAAATCCCTACCCATCTACCAGAAAAAGATAAACTTTATAGAAAAAAAATTACTAGTGAAGTGCATGAATGAGCCACTCAGAGAAGAAAATACAAATGCCAGTCAGTCAGCAAAAAGAATCTTGAGTTTACTAACAAACGCAGATACCCAAATCAAGACAAGATACTGTTCTCATTCACAATATGGACAATCATTTCCGAATCCAAACCCCCAAGGTATTGGCGGTGCTGTGGGAGGGTGGCGCGCTCACAGTCATGGCTGGGGCGCTGTCAGCGGGCAATGCCACTTACAGGGTGACCCAGGGCATGACCAGCTTACACAAAACACACCCCACGGCTGCATGAACTAAAACTGAAGCTGAGTGCCAAGTGGAATACAGGGACATGCAGAAGGTTGTGAATTCTGTCTGAGACAAACTGCATTTCCTTTGGGGAGGTGAAGATGGCCTACTATCAAACAACGCCACGGAGAAAGGCACTGGGAGGCACTGGGTGAGGGTGACACCAAGCCCAGACACACAGAATGAGCAACATGGAAGACCTGAGAATCTCGAGCTGACAAAAAGCCCAAACAAAAGATGGGTGAAACTGAGTCTCTGAGAAAGCCCTTACACGTCAGTGTCGAACAATCAGACCTGAGAACACCAGAGTCCAAAGGAACAGGCCTGCGTGCTGACAGTTCCCAGAAAATGCAAACAACTCCTACTAAACAAACAAAATATCCCTCACTCCCCCAGCCCCAATGACCTGAAAGTGCCCGGGCTCCTAGGGAGAAGAGATCTTCAGATAAACTGGCCCTGCACTGAGCTGAGGGCATAGAGAACATTGACCTCTCAGGAGAGAACCTGGCAATGACTCACAAAATGAAAAGTACACACGCATTTGAACCCAGTTATTCCACTTCCAGGAAATGACCCTCGACTCAAAAATGGATTAAAAAACTGATAGCCAACGGCAGTCATTCCAACAGCTTATAGGAGCAAAGACTGGAAGCAACCTAAATGTCTAAAATAGAGCCGATGAGGTAATTTCTAGAAACTAAACGCACTCACTGTCATCTAGGAGGACCCGGCCCACAGCTGACCCACCAGCGAGTTTTCGGAGACTGTCCGTCTTTCGCCCGAGCAGCAGCTCGAGGGTTAGAACCGTGCACCTCTGGGGTTGGCAGCGTAGCTCCCTATCCACTCGGCCACTACTGGGCAATGGCATCAATGCAGCTGCTGACGAGAATGTAGCAAACAGAAATTTGCTACGTGGCTGCCTGCGCCTAGGAGGACGAGTGTTTCTGAGGGTGCAGGTGCCTCATGGGGGTGCTTGCACGACTCTGTGCAGATACGAAATTCTCAGGCCACACGCGTCACGAGAGAGAGAACGGAATGAGGAAGGGCTGCCCGTGAACCTCCGCACAAGTCAAAGACGACAAAGCAGAAGGACACAAGCAGTACTTTCTACAGCATGTGCTCGGATCCGCACAGGACGTATTCAGGACACACGAGGGACCAGGAACAACAGCTGAAGTGGCAACAATGGCTACATTTGGGTCTTACTGACGTTGGACGTGTAACCGGGGGGTCCCAGTCCCTGGGATAGGACATGCTTGGCAATGCAGATGGTCAGTGAGAAAGGGGAAGACCCTCAGTGGGTGGACAGGCACAGTGGTGCCACACTGTGGCTCACACAACAGCCACGGGACCAGGCGGAGTTCTGTGCCATCATGTGAACTGGAGCTGCCTCGATGACATCCAAAACTGCCCCACAACCCCGCGTGCACGCGCGCACACACACGCACGCACACACACGCACACGCGCGCACACACACACGAACGCACACGCACACGCGCACACACACGCACACGCTGCTCCTGGAGCTGAGG